CCAGGCCTGGGCTCGGAGCCTAGGTTTTCCGGGTCTATCCCGGCCTCGGCCAGACACCGAGCCGAGCACGGGCCTTAGGCCCGAATGGACACCCCTACATATAGATCTTGGTTCTTCTTGGTTATAATCTCTCCGTCATGAACATAAACTAATAAGCTAAATTGATAAAATATAAAGGATTACTCCCACCTTAATTTAAATTTCCCTCCTCTCTTTGTGCATGATCATTTGCTAAAAAAATTGAATCTCTCATATTTTTTCTTTTTAAGATAAAATAGAAAGGAGTTATTATTAATAAACTGTTTTAGTCTGATGTTTTAACTCGACCACACCGTGCCTCTATATAACACACATGGACTACTTATTTTTTCAATTGAACAATTAGGAGAAAGCATCCAATGCATCATGTCCATGATATTAGTGGTGAACCAAAGAGATAATGATTCATATGTATACGCATACACACAAATCCATTGACGGATATCTCTTTAATACATGCTACAATCTAAAACTACTAGCCATTTTATTTATCTCTGACTAGGTGCACTATAATCCCAGGACTACAGTCATGGGATTGTGTTATTAAGCGACTATTTTTTTAATCCAATGTTTGTTTTCACATGGGTTAATATTCACGTACTTAAAATAGTCTAGACTAATACTTATTTTTTAATGGGATTATGCCATTGGGACTAATATCTTAAATGGAAAATTTTAACCGTTCAGTCAACAATATTATTTCTGCACATCTGTTTTGCATAATTCAAAATCTGGAAATGACATTGTCTAAAAAAACCATATTCTTGTCATGATCTAATTAACACCTCCATTCAGTTGTCAAAACACAATCTAGAAAACTGAATTCATCAAATTAATCATTAAATTCTCCTAACAAATAATCAAATAGTAGATGAATATAAAAAAATTCCTAAAAGACATAAAATATTAGAATAAAATCATAAAATGCAAATTTGCCAAGAACTCCTCATGATAAATATTTCATATGATATGACGCTCAAAGAAATTCACACAGATTCCTATGGCACAAGTTTTGTCAATCTTAAAGGATGAAGAATCATGAACCCTCAACTTGCCTAAGAAATTGATTTAAATATATATTGAGAGCAAGATGATCGCGGCATGCGTACGCAATTATAATTTTTAAATATATTTGTTGGGATTTCATCCCAATGAAGCATGCCTTTCAGCTTTTATTCAACCTTCCATGAATGTCAAATGGACGTTTTATGCCGTAGGATTTATTTTCATCGGAACAACTTTATACGACCGACGTAGTCTAGACTGTGGGGGAAAAAAAAAATAATAAGGGACTGTTTGGATAAGTTTTTTTGGGTGATAAAGAGGAGAAAGCTGTCAAAAATGTCAGCTTTTTGACAGCTTTCCCCCAAAATTACCTTTTTAAGGGGTGATTTTGGAAGAAAACTGCAAAAAAGCTGTCAAAAATATCAGCTTTTTGGCACCTTTCTCCCAAAATCACCTTTTTAAGGGGTGATTTTGAAAGAAAGCTGTCAAAAAGCTGACATTTTTGACAGCTTTCCTCATTTTTACCAAAAAAAATAAGGAACCAAACAGCCCCTAATAATTGGGCTCTGACAAAATATAGACCCCCCTCGTAATTGGGTTAGCCATAGGAACTAACATTTTCGGGTTCGGGTTCGGGTCCGTGACCGTACCTACTCGGATCATGAATTAAACAAGACTCCACTCAATCCCCATCCCCAAATTATAAATACAGCAGAAATAGATGAACCGACTTCAAAATTAGGGATTTCCATCATCAACAAATAAACCGCTCCTGAGCCAGTTTCGATCGAAACAAGCGAAAACAAAGAGACCCGCGGCGAGTAATGGCGTCGGTTGCTATCGAGACGAGCCAGGTGGTGGCTGAGGGCGGCGAGATGGTGAAGGTACGGGGAGGCGGCGGCGAGGGGCTGAGGCAGTACTACACTCAGCATATCCACGACCTCCAGCTCCAAGCTCGCCAGAAGGCTCACAACCTTAATCGCCTCGAGGCGCAGAGGAACGATCTCAACTCCAAAGGTCAGCAACGTAACCCTAACCCTAGCACTGTGTTGAAATCCTTGAGTTTACTGTTGTTTTGATGCTGTAATTGATCTGATTGTGCTGTAATTGAGAAAGGAAGTTAATAAAATTTGTGCCTTGAGAGTAAGACTTGTGCTAAGAAGAATTAGACGCTGAAGGATGTACAGTCGCACACTGTATAGATTGAATTTAAATATGCAATCATGTTTCAAGTATTAATTTGTCCATGGGAAGAGGATAAAATGAAAAGAAATTTGTTCCTTGAGAATAGGATTTTGTGCAGGGAAGAATGGACCCTGAAATATTGCCACAAACTGTATAGATTGGTTTGATGCATACAATCCTTTCTAAATAAATCACTAATCTTTAATCCATGTTAAAAAGGTGACCCCAACTGAAAACTTTTGAAACAGTTGGAGCTACTCATTCAGGTTGTCTTAAGAGCAGCCCAATACCGAAAACAGGTTTAGAACTTTCTTGGTGCAAATAATTTACTTGTATCTCGCCAGTTTGCTGTATAACATAAGCTGTTACTTCTGACAATCTAGCGTATAATTTACGCTGTAGTGTTTGTTATAAGAGCAAGGATCCATGAATGAGAAATTATTGGTCAACTTAGCTACTCTGCGGGTAGTGCTGCATACTTCTTGAGTTGTAGCAACATCATAGCTATATCTATCTTTTGATTGTGTTCACTACCATCAATTGTGTGACCATGAAAGTAGGTTCGGAACTTTGGCTAACTATTTATATTATTCTATGTTCATGATATATAACTTGCTACTTGATTCAAGTTTCTTACGTGCTGAATTGTTCTGCCAGTACCTCTTATTTTTTAATAAGAGCAAGTTTTATTGAGAAAGCAATTATTATTATTATTATTATTATTATTATTATTAGTTTGCTATATAACATAAGCTGTTACTTTTGACAATCTAGCGTATAATTTACGCTGTAGTGTTTGTTATAAGACCAAGGATCCATGAATGAGAAATTATTGGTCAACTTAGCTACTCTGTGGGTAGTGCTGCATACTTCTTGAGTTGTAGCAACATCATAGCTATATCTATCTTTTGATTGTGTTCACTACCATCAATTGTGTGACCATGAAAGTAGGTTCGGAACTTTGGCTAACTATTTATATTATTCTATGTTCATGATATATAACTTGCTACTTGATTCAAGTTTCTTACGTGCTGAATTGTTCTGCCAGTACCTCTTATTTTTTAATAAGAGCAAGTTTTATTGAGAAAGCAATTATTATTATTATTATTATTATTATTATTATTTTGTTTGCTAATTTTTTGGGAATTGTGAATGCGACCGCAGTGAGAATGTTGCGGGAGGAATTGCAACTGCTTCAGGAACCTGGATCATATGTTGGCGAAGTAGTGAAAGTTATGGGTAAATCAAAAGTTTTAGTGAAGGTATGAGGAATTTTTTTGTTTTTGATTTGATTTGTATGTAATTAGGAGATACAAAACTTTTGAAATTCTTTTCCTACCTCACAACATAATTTCTCTTCCCTGGAATTGGAATATTTTTACTTTCATTTTTGTCTTTCTTTGTTTCCTGGAGCCAAACATGTTTCCTATAGTAAAGTTTAATCTCTCTCCCTTTTCTAGGCTTTGTCTTAAATTAGATATTTTGTAGGGATTATCCTTGAGCTTAAGCAACAAGACTGCTTGGACAAACATTTCCTACCTGTCAATTGTCATTCTTTGATTTATGGGGTGCTCCTCTTGACCATAGTTTCCTTGGGAATTCATCATCAATTCACAATGTTTAACAGCAGGCTGTAAAACTTTAAGTCTTATCGATTTTTTTTGCTCCATTTCCATTTTATGGCCACATTTAGAGAAGCCATAGAAGATTGATGGTTTCTAATCAAATTCCATTCTTTCTTGTGTATTAAATGTTGTATGCTGGATGACTATATGTCAACATTAATGATTTTTGAATATTAGTGCTTTTGCTCATTTTCAGATCCACATAACTAGAATTCTTATAGCTTTGTTTACTTTATATCCCAATTGATAAGTATCTATTCTTTTGAAATATTATAGAAAAAGTAAGTGTAGTTTAATTAAAGCGGACTGCGCGCCCACCTAGGTGACTGCCTAGGCCTAAGCATTACTTCGCCTTCCCACATTACTTTGCCTTCCCATGTAATTCTTGGAGGCGCCTAGGGGAGCATGGCCTCTTATGCGGACTGCATTGCCTAGGTCATGGCTGTGATTCCCTCTATTGCCACTTCCACGTCCTCCGACCTCCATCTCCTCTGAACGCTTCCATCTCCAACCTTCAGCAAAACCTTGTCCACCTCCAGTAAAGAAAACAATACCTAGGCCCCACCTTGGCACCTGCCTAGGCACCTAGGCTAGGTGCGGGGTTGGCACCTAGTGGCGCTAGCAATTTCTGTAACATTGATGAATGAAATCTAGAAAGTTAAAAACCAAAAAGAATAAAAAAATCCAAAGAATTTTTCTTATGTCTTATTCTTTTCTATATACAGCCTTAAAGTTAATGGTAATTATTCATGAGACGCGACAGTACACTGTGGTAGTACGTAATGGAATTTAGTTGTGATGATGCTTGCACTATGTACTTATCTCTGGTGTTATACATTGGAGGCCAATTTTTTTGTGAGATCTGTATCCAAATGGAAAGTTTTATTGGATTGATTTTGTATTCAAATGAGCCCAGTAAACATTTCCAGCTGATAATCTGTGTCTTTCTTCAGACTGGGATATAATCTATAGTTAACAGTTGGCAACTGGTCCTCAAATCTCATGATTCTCGTCCTATGATCCAATAATGCACTCTATTAATAGGAAAATAGAATATCCATTTTTTAGAGAACTTTTGCTTATTGTTTCTTTGGATGATACCTCCTTCAAGAACACATTTGATATTATTTAATTCGGTCTGAAAGTTGTGTGCTTTCAGGTTCATCCAGAAGGAAAGTACGTTGTTGACATTGACAAGAACATTGATATAACCAAGATCACGCCTTCAACTAGAGTTGCTCTTCGCAATGATAGCTATGTTCTTCATTTGGTACTTCCCAGCAAAGTAGACCCATTGGTCAATCTTATGAAGGTTGAGAAAGTTCCTGATTCTACATATGATATGATTGGAGGTCTTGATCAGCAAATCAAAGAGATTAAAGAGGTTAGTTTGGTGGCAAAATCTGACTTTAAATATATTAAAGGATATTAGTTATCCTGTATTTCTTGTTGAGGTTTATCTTAAATTAATTCACTTTAAGGTCTGCTCAACTTGTTTGTGAATTGTTTTTAGGTTATTGAGCTTCCGATCAAGCACCCCGAACTGTTTGAGAGCCTTGGAATAGCTCAGCCTAAGGTACCTTGTTTCCAATTATCTCTTACTGTCTACTGTTTAGTAAGCAGTGCAATCCGAGATCTCTTATTTGTCTAATATTCACAAAATTAACTGCAAATTGTCTGCAGGGAGTGTTGCTTTATGGGCCACCAGGTACAGGGAAAACTTTGCTTGCGAGAGCGGTGGCTCATCATACTGATTGCACCTTTATCCGTGTCTCTGGTTCTGAGTTGGTTCAGAAATACATTGGAGAGGGTTCTAGAATGGTTCGAGAACTTTTTGTTATGGCTAGGTATGTCGAGATTAATCTGATGATCGTTTACTGCTACGTTCTTGTTTTCTTGTATGTTTGATGTTATATCACTTCAAATTGCAACAGCAGGTGTGTAGGAACAGTTTCCATCACATATAATATATTTCTTCACACCTCTGTATGAAAATATCCAACAGAAGCTGAAACCATTTACTGCAATACTATTTATTGGAAGCGACCTAGATAGTTCATCATTTCAAATTGTTATTATGGTGCAAGGAATGAGTTTGTTTACATTCATCTTTCTGTCCACGTGCTCACAAGTGGACTCACAATTGTGGATCTAGTTGTGACATACAGTCAATCCTACTTATGATGAGATGTTACTGCGTGCAGTTTTTTTGGAAGAATTTACATTTCAGCCATTATGGTTTAGGTTTCAGCCGAATTGGTTTCAGCTTCGGCTGAAACCGGTACTTGTGGAGAAATTGAAAGTAAAAGTTTCACTATGATCTCTCTGAAAACCAGTTAAATTTAAATTATTTTTTAAACCTTAGGTTGCTTATTGAGGGATAACCAACTGATGCGTTGCTCATGCTGCTATTGCACAGCTGCCTACCATCTTTCTTAACAAGGACTTAGATGGGATATGGCGACAACATTATGATTACAGCAAAGCATCATGGAGCATTAAATCAAGCCTGGAGCTTTTCTATAGGGATTAAGTAATCGGCAGAATATATAATTCTAGTTATTATTATTTATTTTTAGGGAGATTTAGCCAAGCGCCTATGCTGCTTGGCTGCTTAGAGTGTCGAATTAATTGGGGATATCTGCACCTCTTCTGTGAACTTGAACCTAGATTTTGAACACGAATGTAAACCTCCTTGGGACCTATCTCTTTGAGCTTGATATGGATAAAATTTACGGTTGTAGTGATTGGGCAGCTTTCTGTAGTTTAGCGCATGTGCATTTATACCTACGAAATTTCCCTTTTCAAGCATGTACATGCAGGAGCAGTGAAGTTTGCATAGTTTCTTTAAACTCACACGTTTTTCTTGTTCTAAATCTAAATCTCACTTGCATAAAACAAATTGCCTTGTATTTTGTGACGCCCTAAGTTTCACACATGGTTACAGTCCAAAGTGAATCCAAAGATGTCAAACCTGTCATGCACCCAGCACTGTGCAACAACATGTTTCACCATCACAGTAACATCTCTCTAGTGAAAGTCAAACAATAATCAAGTATAGGTACAAGCAGATAAAGATAATGATACAAGGAACACAATATAGAGAAGAGATCCAATAATAAATATAATCATATTCCAACAGAAGAAAAGAAGAACTATCTGATAAAATGAAATAAGTCATAAATTTCTAAATACAAGAGTCAACTGAATACAGTACTAAGGCACTCAGTCTCAAAATAAAATACATCTCTAAAGACTGAAAACAATAATCATAAATAGACCATGGTGGAGCATTAACTAGCTATATATGAGTGGCAGTGACTATGCTGAATCCTCGTCAACCTGCGGCTCTCCGAGACTCTTGACCTGTTACCTGAAAAGAGGTGAAATCAATAGTGTCAGAGCGCTAGCAAGAACTTCTCCCTCCGCCCCTAAGGGAAGGGCTAACATATTTAATGGAAGCTAGGCTCTACCTATAATATGCATAATCTACCTAAATCATTTACCATGCACTAAAAGGAGTTAAGATTTAGAAATCCACAACATGAGATGAGTACGTCGAGCGAAATAAGCCAAACATGGAAACCCTCATATATATACCATGCATCTCAAATTATGAATCGCTAAATATCAACTCTAAAAATCCTAAATAAAATAATTAATCAAGAAATACATTACTAACACCTCACCCAAAACATATCATATATGTCGTATCATAATATCTCACACTACCCTCGGGTAGGTGGCGCAGAAACAAATATAAAAATCCAGTGAAGATCTCATCTAGGATACGTCGTACATGACCAAATACAATCTTATACACTACCCACGGGGTAGGTGACACGGGAGCAAGTACACAATCATATGTGATCCTATACAACGATTTTTGGTGTGGAGTATATGTGCTCACCATATCATATGGCTCATCGCAATATCCTGCGGCTTACTACCTAACTCGAACACCCAACAGAGTATAAGCATATCAGCCTAATTCGGAACACTATGCAAACCAAAGAGATGTGAAGTCTCGGTGCTCACAGTATCCTGTGGCTCATCACGGTGTCATGCGGTTCACAACCGAACTCGAACATCCATGTAGTATTATGATGCGGAGTATAGATAATCGCAGTATCCCGCGGTGTATCACAATCTCGTGCGGCTCACAACCTATCTTGGCCATCTATGCATACGTTGATGTTGACTTATGCAACTCGATAGATATTGCCCCTACGTCGCGATAAGTGCAAAATATGGCTACACACTCCCGAGGATCCGTGCGTGCTTAAACCCGACACATACACTACCATGGCCTGGCATGTGTATCGATGCGCGAGCCGGTCCTTCGTGTTCATGATGAAATATGCGTGGAAGATCAATTTTTGTAAACATCTCCAGATCAATCGATTGATATTCTCCATCGGTCGTGAACGTGCATGAAACATGCACAAGAACAAACTTCGATCGGTAAACACCAACGACGTTGGTGAACAATAATTCTGACTGTCAATAGTAACACCGGCGGTGAATAGTACTTTCAATGGTAAACAATAACACTACCAGTAAATAGTAATTTTGATGATGAATAGTAATTTCAATGGTGAATAGTAATTCCGACGGTGAACAATATTAAATATTTAGAGTTCTAGTCATCAAGATAATATATTTTCTTCATTTAGAGATTTGATCTAAAACTAGGTGGAATGCACGTGCATTGCACGTGGTCAAATATTATAATTATTTACTTTTAAGTTTATTTATTTACTATAACATGGTTGTAAAAAACTTTGAAATTATCATAATATATTAAAATTTTTGGATATTTTCATGTGTGATTTTAACATTTTGTCTTCTAGAGAAATAATGATGTTTAAAGCTTTAAAATGTTAATGATTTAAGATTAATTAGTAATTTAAATGTATAATTTTAAAATATTAATGATGTAAGGGACCAATACGGAAAAACCTATTATTATAAATAAAAATAAATTCTTGAATTCATTAAGGAAAATGGTAGGTTTTATCTAGTCATTAAGGATTTTGTTCACTTATAAAATAATCACTTCCACCTGTTTATCTGTCGATCGAGTATTATAGATATTCAAGAACTTTTTTCTAGAATTTTCTAAGTTAGAATGCGCAAATTCAATCAAGAAAATATAAATTATATGCTCAATTTTAATATCTGATATTGTACTGTTTTTACATTTTCCCAACTACTAATTGATTACTCGCTAGTTTCAAAAAACTATAAAATTAGTTTGAGAATGATTTGTACATATTATGCACTCATACTGATTGTATTTTAACAAAATAATTAATATCTATCCAATATCAAACAACATCTAAAATTTAGCTTAAGGAGTTAGAAGAATACAAAATCTGCAATAATACTCATATCCAAGCTATGAGCTTCATAAGCTTATAAGAATGTGAGCAATATATAATGAATCTGCAATAATACTCATATCCAAGCTATGAGCTTCATAAGCTTATAAGAATGTGAGCAATATATAATGACAACTTAATTTACTTTGTCAAATAATTATGAGCTTCATAAGCTTATAAGAATGTGAGCAATATATAATGACAACTTAATTTACTTTGTCAAATAATTATTACGAATCATGAAAGACAAGGGGAATCAGAAGGATCATATACCCATCCAAATAAATATTAAAATTCTCTTAGAGATTCATATAGCAAAAGATTTTTAGAGTTGATGTGTAGGATAAATTTAAGGATAAATAACACAAACCAGTTAATTAAGTGATAGACTTTCTATAGACTTCACTATTATAAAATTGATATCACATGTGCCTTAAGATGTGTTTTTGTTTAAGAGTTAATTTAAAAAAAACACCCCCTCAACTATGGAGGGCATGACAACCCCTCTTCCCCCCTCATCCCCGGCAAAACTATTTAAGACTGAGTAAATCTCCACCAAGTTTTGGGTGCTTTGTAGATAATCTTTCTCAAGTTAAAAATTTTTGATTTAATCCCAGTGAACTTTTCTCATTTAGACCTAACCTCTCAAAACTAACATCATTGAGTCTTATCTATTATGTGACAAGTACTTGACTTGAAAAGACCAAAATATCAATCAATCATAAAATAATTACCTTGGTTTTTGCCTGATAAAAGAGGTGATATAGAGGGAAAAAGAATTGTAAATTGGTAGTGATCCTTTTATTATCGGTTGAGGGTTTCTTTTTAATTAAAATTACTTTCTTTAGGAGGATATTTTGTCCAAATCACATATCGAAGTAACTACGTTAAGGGGGTTTGTTGATAGAAGTGTAAATGATTAGGAGAGTTTTTATGAGATATGCTATAGTTGAGAGTTGTTTTCTAAAATTGCACCAAAGTTGTGAGGAGTTATCTATAACACCCTACATAATAAGGGGGTTTTGTCAAATTGAATCAGTTGAGTGGGTTTTTAAGACAATCCCCATAGTTAAGAGGGTTTTTAAAACACTAACAATTCTTTTAAATATGGCTTATTTATAATTTGTCCCTCAAAATTTTAGTTATTTAATATTAGTCTCTAAAATTATGAGTAATTTCAAAATTTTGTGGGAACAACATAGAATCATTGGATATTTAAAATCAAGGAACTAAAATCTAAATAACATTTACATATTTGCTCTTATATGCATTCTATTAAATATCGACCAGTATATTGTTACATCGGCTAATATATCCAGTTAAAGACTTTATCTCAGTAATATTTTATATTATTTTCTTTTGTTTGTTGATCTTTTTGATATATCGACCGTTATTAAAAATATGGCTGATAAATCCCATTGAAGATATCGAGAAAATCATGTCATTTTTAATTTGATTGTGGGTTGGGGTTTGGATCATGTTTAGAAAACAAAATCAAAACCCATAAATGACACAATTCTTCTCTCAAATCTCTCCACTTTAGGCTCTCCCAAATCTTAAGCATATATCTTAATGCAAATTCTTATGTTTAAAATTCATTAACATGTTAGATTACATATTACAAAGTCATATTATGTATGAATGTTATCTCATATGACGCTCAGTATTGCATACATATCCCTAATTTTTACAAATCGATATCATGGATTTTATTTTTTCAATAGTTATTTGATGTTTAACACTTTGTAGTAGTCCTTCAAAAGCCTCTTCTAAAGTTTTCTAAGTGAAGTATATAATTTTAGGATTATAATTTAAAATATTGAGATTCATTTAAAGTATGATGTTTTAATTTTCCAATCTCCTCTACTATATAAATATAAGTTAAGCATCTGGCCTCATATTGTATGATAAATATTATTTATCGATGGGATCATATACTATTGTTTGTGGATAACAAATATTTTAAATTTTTTGTAGGCTTAACTGAACTTAAATACCTTGTAGTTTATCAAAATTATACTTATATTATTATATACCACCATTTGGTATCTTGGTGCATTTTTTTTAAAATTTTAGATAACGAATCGTGATGCGCTTAAATATCCTAATGTTTTCTAAAATTTAATGTTTGTACCTTCTGTCTTGTTACCTAAACATAAGAATGCTCTTTGTAATATTCCTATGTGAGTTTCATGGTATAATTTAGGATAATTCTATGTTTTCTACTCTTTTCATAAATACTTTATTGACATGCAATTATCTATTAATATATTATTATTCACTACTAATAATTAATATGATGTAGAGTTTTATAATAATGTTGGAAGTTCTAGGGACCAAATTATGCAAACTTAAAGTTACGTTTAATATAATTAATCAACAATAATAATTAATTTAGTTTAGTTAGCATTAGAATGTAATATTAAAAGAGAATAGAGGTAATATAGTCTTTAGAAAGTTTTTCCATAACTTCCTCTTTTAAAGGGAGTATGATTTTATTCATCAATTTTTTATCAAGATCATGTCTTTTCTTCATTTAGGGATTTGATCTAAAATTCTATTCCTCAATTTTCATCAAGATTAAAACTAATTGCGAATGAGTTTGGAAAGAGATGAACTTGCCGTTATTGAACTCTAAAATTGGAATACCTATCCGTTCCTTCTCTTTGAACAACCAAATTTTCCTCCCTCTTTTTCCTTTCTTTTCTTCCTCTCTCTCTCTCTCTCTCTCTTCTTTCTTCCCGTAAAGGTGAGGAGAGCGTTGAAGGGGGGGGTGCATTTTATAGGATGATGAATGG